CAGCCGAACTGCTGAACTGCAGTCAGCTGAAGTAGCCTGCAGTGCTGCATTTAACCACTGCGCCACCTTGAGGGCCGCATTAGGGTTGTGTTTGATCTCGGGAGGTGTGGGCGTGGGCAGGGGTGTGTGGCCAGCTCCATGCCAGTCCCGGAGGCTCCGTTTTCAGCCACGATGGCCTCCTGGAGCCCTCTGCCAGCGTAGGCGACCCTCCCGAGCTCTGTTTTTGCTGGCGGAGGCACTGCGGGCCAGATCTAAGCACCCCACAGGCCAGAACCCTAACCCTTGAGTTTGACACCACTGACATAGGGTCTCTTACTTGAGCAGGTGGTTGGACTAGAAGACCTCCAAGGTCCCTTCAAACCTTTTCGGCACTGAGTGCCGGAAACCAGAAGAACAGCCGCTTGATGTGCATGTGTGCGCCAGGAAGATGATCTTTGGGTTTCCGGCACGCACATGCGCACTGGCCACCTGATCTTCTGGTTTCTGGCACGCATGTGCGTGCGAAGACTAGCATGCGCACCAGAAAAGAGAAGATTGTCTTCCCGGCGCCCACATGCGCACCGAGCGACTGCTCTTTCTATTTCTGGCGGTCCCGCGCACGGGATGGCTCGTCTGCCCAGAGAGACAGCTCTGCATGCCCCTTCCGTCACGTGTGCCATAGGTTCGCCGTCACGGTTTGACAGAATAGAACCGTGATGGCGAACCTATGGCACTCATGCCACAGGTGGCACATGGAGCCATTTGTTAGGGCCCCCTTGGCCCTGCCCTGTCAGAAGTCCTGGAGCACAAAAAAACGACCCTACGGACAAACAGGAAGTTTAGGAACGGACTTCCTGTTTGCTCGTAGGGCCGTTTTTCGCCCTCCGGAGCCTTCAGGAGGCTTCCTTAAAGGCTCCAGGGGGCAAAAACTGGCCCTATGGGCAAACCGGAAGTTCGGAAACAGACTTCCTGTTTGCTCGTAGGGCCGTTTTTCGCCCTCCGGAGCCTTCAGGAGGCTTCCTTAAAGGCTCCAGGGGGCAAAAACTGGCCCTATGAGCAAACCAGAAGTCACCATTCCCGAACTTCCGGTTTGCCCATACGGCCGTTTTTTGCCCTCCGGAGCCTTCAGGGAAGCTCCTGAAACCTCGGGAGGGCATCCGGGCATGGGTGGAGGCTGTTTTCGCCCTCCCCAGGCTCCTACAAAGCCTCTGGAACATGTGGACAGTAAAAAAATGTGCCAAAAATGTGTGATGGGAGTGTCGTAGGTCACACGCGCATTGAAGGGGGGTGGTGTTGTGGGTATGGCAAGCCCGGGCACGACCCCCCCCTGTGTTCCCACCGATTTTGGCACGGTAGCCAAAAAGGTTCTCCTATCATTGGAATAGAATAACAGATTTGGAGGTCTTCTAGAATGGGCCCTCTTTGGCTCAGCTCTACGGTAACTCTGGCATCTACTATGATAAGCCTTCTGCTACTCAATTGTTCCAAAGTCTTCATGTTCTGATGTCTTCCCCATCATGCTTCCTCCTGCCCCAGACCAATGCTCTTCCAGACCAGCGAACATATCTCCAACAGTCCAGCGGTGGGAGACATCATTCCGTACAGCACCGTCATCCAGTTCTTATTCACAAGGGCCCCACCCGAACTGAAATCCCCTTTCCAGGTAATGAGACGATGCAAGCCTTTTTGACAAAATGAAGGCCGTCCTCGACTTATGACCACATCCGAGGCCCAAAATGTCTGTTGCTAAGTGAGACATTTGTCAAAGTGAGCTTGACTCACTTCCCCTGGCTGGGGAATTCTGGGAGTTGAAGACTCCAGTTCCCAAGACCGAGAAACGCAGTTATAAATTGTACTAATATCGCAGGGGTCAGCAACCTTAAGCACTCAAAGAGCCACAAAGGTCCTAATTGGAAGCCCCCCCTTCCCGGCAACACCGCCCCCCCCCTGCATTCAATTCTGGAGCCAACCAGAAATCCGGTTCCCCTGCCATAGTCTCCTCCTAGTGCAGCGTCCTTTTTCCTCTACCTGTTCTAACCGAAAGCCCTATCAAATTGTAGAGCCAACCAATGACAGGGAGCTGCAGTAGAGGAATGAAAGAGCCACATGCGGCTCCAGAGCTGCAGGTTGCCGACTCCTGTTACTATCACAATACATCGTATTATTTGATCTCTTCTCAAAAAGCTTTTCTCAAAATAGATTCGTGCTTTGGTTACTATAATCATTGGATAGTAATATGCGTCACTTCTTTGTGTCACTAAGAAGCTTGTTAATTTTTTAAATTATTTTATTTATTAACTATAGAGAGCAGACTGGACGATTGCTCGTTACTCGCGGTGGCTAGATGATCATCCGGCCGAGAAAGAGCGGCTCATTTTAATACGGTCAGGCATATTTTATTTATTTTTGGTTAATTTAGGAATATTTCAGGGTTTCATTTCTGATAACTCTCTTCATCTTTCTGGATAGATCACCTCTCAGTGATCTACCTCACCTAGGAACTCAAGTGTACATTTTAAATCAAACTTGGCTGGAAATACGATTGCTTTCGGGGAGGGATTAATCATAGCTACATAGGTACAGGCAGTCATTGACTTACAACAGTTCACTTAGTGACAGTACAAAGTTACAACAGCACTTAAAAGAATTTCTTATGACTCTTTTTCACACGTACGACCGTTGCAGCCATCCCCATTCTGACGTGATTTATATTCGGATGCTTGGCAACTGACTTACAGTTATGATGATTGCAGTGTCCTGGGGGAGGGAGGGGTGTCACGTGATCCCCTTTTGCGACCTTCTGACAAGCAAAGTCAATGGGGAAGCCAGATTCACTTAACGACCGGGTTACTAACTGAACAACCGCAGCGATTGACTCAACGCACAGAATAAGACGGTTTTTCTCCTGGCGCAGGTCTTCATTTCCTTCTAAAACTTAAAAGGTGCTGGGAAGTTATAAACGGAACGGTTCTCATTCCGTTGGCCCTTTCCAAAGTCAGCGAGGAAGCCGGATTCACTTAACAACCCTGTTCTTAACAACTGGAGCGATTCACTTAACCGGGGCAGGAGGTCGTAAAATGGGACAAAACGCACTTAGCAACACAAATGTCAGGCTCAATTGCCTGCACTCACTCACTCACACACACACACATGAGAGAGACAGGGAGACAGAAACAGAAAGACAGACAGAGAGAGAGAAAGATACAGAAAGACAGACAGACAGACAGAGAGACAAACAGACATAGAAACAGATAGACAGAGAGAGAAACAGATAGACAGAGAAAAACAGACAGACAGAGAAACAGAGAGAAACAAAGAGAGACAGAGACAGAAACAGAGACAGAAACAGAGACAGAGAGAGACAGAGAAAAACAGACTGAGAAACAGAGAGAGACAGAGAAACAAATAGAGACAAGCAGAGACAAAGAGAGACAGAGACAGAGAAAAATAGAGACAGAGAAACAGAGACAGAGAGAAACAAATAGAGAAACAGACAGACAGAAAGACAGAAACAGACAGAGAAACAGAGACAGAGAGAAAAACAGAAACAGAGAGAGAGAAACAGAGACAGAAACAGAGAGAGAAACAGAGACAGAGAGAAACAAATAGAGAAACAGAGACCGAGAGAGAGACAGAAACAGACAGAGAAACAGACAGAGAGAAAAACAAATAGAGAAACAGAGAGACAGAGAGAGAAAAACAGAGAGACAGAGAAACAAAGAGAGAGACAAGCAGAGACAAAGAGAGACAGAGAAAAACAGAGAGACAGAAACAGAGACAGAGAGAAACAAATAGAGAAACAGACAGACAG